TTAAAAATAAATTCACTAACTAGTAGCATCATTTCGTCGCTAGATGGCAGCAGAGTTCTTCCTGCTGCCCTCCAGAGCCGAAGAAGAGTCACTTCCGGTGTGACGTCATTTATCTGTGTTGGTTAATGGCGGTCGCTTAACAGGGTGGTCTGTAAACGTTTCAACTGTGAACTGTAACTGTCTACTTATCACAAAACATGTACTCGGCTCGGTCCAACACACATGGCAGTTACAAGATTTCTATTTTCAACTTTCAGGTCGGTTCATGCGCCGCTTTGACCAGAAATTCACCCCCGGATCGACGGAAAAGAAGCAAACGGTAAGAAAGAAGAGCACAAAAATTTACAGCGGATGTTAATTAACTAATTAACAAGTTAGCTGGCTTTAAATGCTGCTGTTTTCGTGTAGCTAACCTATGTTGTTATTGGTGCAGCGTTAARAATGGAGGACGAAGAGGCTGAGCTTGAAGATGAGTGTGAGGTGGCCGCGCTCCGTTTGAAAGCGGAGTCATTGAAACAAGAGCTGAAAGAGTGCAGAGCCGAGCTGGTCAAGTTACAGAAGCAGCTGAGCCACTCAGAAAGGCTGCAGAAGAGCACAGAGAGCTACAATGAAGACCTCAGGAAACAGGTCAGTCCTCTGTAACAATAAAATGTATTTTAATCAGATCATTCAACCATGTAAATACTATTTGTCCTATCAGTGACAATATCATTGAGTGGTTTCTAAACCTCAGCTGTCTTTCTTAATGCATTTAAAGTTGGGATGGATGGGAATATTTTACTCTCTCACGATTCAATTCGATTCTGATTTTTGGTTGCATGATTCAATTCAAAATCGATTTTTCATTCAAAACTGATWATGTGAGCCCATTTGTCGTGTTCCCAAAGGGCTTCATCATCATTTTGCAAACCTAGCTCATGTCAAACTCAGACTCATTCAGTAAAATCCAAAATGAGCCCAAATCTTTGCATTCAGTGAAGACAGGGCCTGTTGAATCTCTCTTTCCTCCAGTTTTGTAGTTTCCTCTTTGTTTTGGTGCTTTCTGCACCTTCATATGTTCCAGAAGCAGCTGTATGATGACATCAGGCCATCCCATGTACCGTAGTTAGAAATTGGAGTCTGACAGCCATTGGATTTGCTTTACTTTTTTATCTATAAAAATCGATTTTGGTACATTTTAAATCGATTCTGAATCTTTGTAAATGAGAATCAAGATTCTGATGTAAAACGATTTTTTTGGTGCACCCTTAATTTAAAGTGGAGTAAACAAGATATATATATATATATATATATATACACACAGTAAGTGTAATATAGTAGGCTAAACATTTTGTGGTTAATTCATTTTTTAAAACTCAAAATAAAGTTGATGTGTCATCATTAATATTCTCTCTTTAGTAAATCTGTAATCCTGCACTCAGGAGGAAGCATAGCTAATGTATCACCACCTCATTTTATTTTGCGTTAATCCAGTGTAAATATTCACGGTAACCATGAATATCTGAAAAATAACAGTCTGTCAGAGAAAACCTCAGCTTGCTCGGCTGCAGTCTTGGCCATACAAATTTATTCTTTTTGTATTTCTGTGTTAATAGTTTTATTTAAAACAAAAAACAAAAGCAACCGAGACAAATAAGCTGTGCACGCTCCCTCTGCTCCCAACCATTTAGACTCTGCTCCTAAAGTTTTGTTTTGACCAATGCATGTAATGCGACTCGTGATGATTACCAATGTAATTAAAAATAATTTAAAGTGGTTTCGGATCGTTCCCGGCCGAAGTGCAAACTGGCCAGTAGCTTGAATCAAAGGATTTTCTGAATCAATATTAAATTGCAAGAATAATTAATTGCAATGCATTGCTGAGTTTATTATTTTACCAACACCTAATATACGCGTGCCGTGACCCACACTGTGTATATTGCACTATATAAATAAAAAAAAAACGGCGAGTGTGTGGATTATTCTACAGGGAATATTTATTATTGTGAGTTTTGGACCATTTTATATTTAATTTTAAACTAAACTATATTTAATTTTAAACTATACTACTCTTAACATCTCTGTCTGCATAATTAGCCTCACCTTATTTCTCATAACATTATCTGATCTCAATTCCCTCTCACTAGAAGCTCTCATTAAATACTCTGTTAATGGATTTTGATTCATTAATCAAGTCAAATGAGGTATTGTCAGTGGTACTCTAGTCTCTTCCCTTCGCTTTAAATGAGAGCCACGTGTATCGATCTTATATCGGCCACGCTCTTTGCTGCTCAGGTGAACAGGTGCTTACACTCGCTGTGTATGTCGAAAACTCACCTCTGATTTTTCTCCTTTGACTTAAATTGAAATTAGTAGAAGTGCTTTTCATACTGGTGTGGTTTTTGTTCATGAGCACAGTTGATTTAAAGTGTGCCACTTTGAATTTTTAATTTCTCGTAGATTTTAGAGCTTCAAAAAGTGTCGCCTGTCTGTTGATTAAAGAAAAAATACATTGCTTCAGGTGGACAAGCTGAGTGCAGAGATTCATGAACGGAAGAAGAAGGATAAAGACAAAGTAAACAGTGAAACTCAGACAGAAGAATATGTATGGACAGAAACAGGTACGTACATACATCCAGTTTGCAAATGAAGTATAGATTTAAAAAAAATGTCAACGATTACTTTTTTTTGTTCTAGATTATTACAACTATTACTACGGAGGCTACAGTCAGAACGTGGAAGGGACAGACTCTCAGGAAAATCTGAACTGGACGGCGGCAGCAGKAGAAACATCATCAGAAGCAGCAGCAACAGAAACAACAGCAGCAGCAGCAGTGGATGCAGCTGATTACAGCACAACAGCAGAAGTTTTACCAGCAAATGAAGCAGCAACCACAGCTGTAACAGATCCACCAGTGAGCAGTGATGTAGTTGCAACAGAGGTCAGTTTTATAAAAACATTTTAAATATTAGTTAAAAGTAAAACATTTCTTTTTGCTGTAGCAATAACATTTTTGGTTGATTGCAATTTGTTTTGGTACATTATGAATGTATAAACTGTAGTTATGCACCTACATTGACATTATTTTATTTCAGGAGGGCGATGGAGGATCTATAGCGGACATGRTGAGGGCCACTGCTGAAGAGGCTATGACCCAGACCGGGTTTGTGTTTGATGAGACTTCTGGCATGTATTACGACCACAGCACAGGCTTCTACTATGACTCGGTTTGTTTCGTTTCTTTCTGGTAGAGTTGTTTTTTTAAATCAAATTTAGTGGTTAAACCTGTTATTGATGATAGCATTTCAAGTCTTATCCATGTTTTTTCCTCCACCACAGGCCAGTCAGTTGTACTATGATGCCAACACGTGTATATACTACTACTACGATGCAGAGAGCGGACGCTATCAGTTTCATTCCAGGATTGAGATGCCTGTTGCACAGAGCAGTGCTGAGCCAAGCCAAGAAACATTTGATGTTGACAAGAAATGGAGAAAGTTCAAAAGAGGAGTCAAGAAAACATCACATCAGGATGAAAAGGTATGAAACTCTTAACGCTTCATAAAGGAGATTACTTGGTAACATTATATTTGACAGCTGGTTTTTGACTGTAGATTCCCTTTACGTTCTCTTGATGTTTTTGGTCTCAGTCTTTAAAAACTTAAATTTTATTATTTGCATTAATGTGAGCCTAGTTTACTAAAAAAAAAAAAACTTCCTCTGGTCTAGGTGCAGGATGTGACTAACTCTTTGGCTAAAATGAAGATTTCCACTTACAGGAAAACTCCTTCCTACAGAGGTATAACTTTAGTATTTATCTGCAAATCAGTTTTATATATTTCTTATTATCAGTCTGTTTTTTTTAACCTTATTCATTAGCATTTAAATGTAATTAAACTTCACAAGCAGAAATTATTTAGTCTGTACAGGGTCATTAATCTTGGTTAATTTGAAGATTTGGTCAAAATCTGGATACAAAATACTATTTTGATTGTTCTATAATTTTCAAAATAATCTGGAGAAACATTACAATAATTTGTCTTTAAAGACTGAGAACCATGTAGTGAGATTTTATGATGAGAGATTTGGAATCAACAGTCAAAAGTCAGCTGGTCTGCAGTCACTAGAGATTGTAACCTCACTGCTGACTGTCTGGTGGTAGGAAATCAAATCCGATGACCCAAAGCACGAACAAGAAGAAACAGACCGATTGGAACCTCGAAAATCACGCCGAAGGTCTCTCAGCCCGAACTCTGCCCAGAGTAGAAAAGACTCCTCTAAACATCGAGAGGAAGGGGACAGATCGTCATCGAAGAGAAAGAAGCTCAAAAATGGCTCGCACCACGAGGATAAGGGCCGACTGAAGAAGAAGAAAAAGAAGAAATCAAAATCAGAAAAGCACAAAAAGAAGAAGAGCCGGCCTCGGAGCGATGAGTCAGCAGGCAACAGCGAACCAGAAGAGGGGGAGATCACAGAGTCGGAGAGGGAGGACCGAGAGTCCACCCCCTCATCTTTGTCATCATCCAGCTCTAAAAGGTCCAGAGAAAGTCCAGAGTCAGAAATGGAAGTGCAAAGTCAAGAAGGTGAGAGGATGTTGCAGCAACTGTGACGTGAATGGAGCACGTCTTCCAGATCAGTTTTAAGGGCCAATGAGTTCAATCTGCTTGTAATTTTTAGATGTTATAAATAATTGTTAATTTTATGTTGTATCTTTGAGAGGCTAACATGTTCCAGTAACGGTGCAGATGGTTTGTTTGTCTTACAGTGAGGAGCATCTGGCCTCCTTGTGTTAGAGTGACAGTGGTGAGGTCTCCTGTTCTGCAGGTGGGAACTCTGTTCATCATCACAGCCGATTCTCCGGCAACATTTGGCAGGTTTGTCTTTTTTTGTCCTGTTTTTATTTAGCTCCACGAGTCCCTCCTCAGTGAAAGAAATATTTATATCATGTAATGATGTAATTTCCTCATTTCAAACATACCCAAAGTGTTGCTTTGACTTATTCATGCATGTTGAAGAAATCCTTGAATCTCCTGTAGCCACGTGGAGCTGCCAAACGCTGGTACAAAGCACCGCCTATTTACACAAATCTCCTCAGGATTTGCATTACATAGCTTCATAATGATCAGTATTTATAGATTCTTCACTACAAGTTGCTTAACATTGATGTATATCAACATATACCAATCTGAAACTAGGGCTGCACCGATTAGTTGAAATAATTGATGACGTTGATTATGTAAATTTGTCGACACATATTTTTTTTATTATCGATTGACTGTTTTACATAACCACCACGTGAATGTTCATGCAATTCCATTTCGGTACCTAAATGCATCATTACGACCGTATTGGCATAAGAGTGGTGAGTTTTCCATG